ACACACACACACACACACACACACACACACACACACTTTACAGCTGTCACAACATGAATGTGTTTTTCATTTCATTCATTTGGTATTTTGATGGTCTCCACTCCTTCGTGGGATTGTGCTGGCATGGTGAGCCCACAGGGTGGAGTGAGAGAACCAGGTAGGGAAGATTTGAATATTGTGCATTCATCTCAGGACCGACTGCGGCGCAGGGCTCAATGCTCCCGGGTGACGTCAGCGTTAAATCGAACACAGAAACCGTTCCAGATATCCCAGTGTGCTGCTGATATATATATTTTAAAACCCTTATCTCCCACCTATAGAGCTGGAGATATCCAGTGTGCTAAAGACATCAGCAGGTTTATCACAGATCTTCATGGGGAGGTCATTACAGCACAGTGTGAATTAGAATATAGTGCCAGCTGCTTAAAGATGTTTTTTCTTTTAGAGTTAACTCTCTCAATGACCGAAAAAGACGTGTGTAGAAATTAAAAGTTTCTAGTTTGGTCATGTGATTCAGGGAGTAATCATCAACATAAGCAGAGAATCCTTGATCACATAAATGCTCTGTTTTATAAGTCATCTGAGTCTTTGCTTGCTTCACATTTGTCTTTTAGTACTCTGTATGTATGGAAATGTATATATATTTATGCACATAATAACTGAAAGTCTGTCCTCGATTGCAGCGGTGAATGCCCTTTGATAGTTCACATTGCCGACTGTATACTGGAAAAGATTGTGAGTAACAGACTTTTAGTAGGCCACCTCTTCAAAATTACACAAGGGTAGTCCACGCGTTTTCCTCTACTCCTCCACTTGAATTACATCCACACAGTTTTTATGTGTGTTTGTGTTCCCCTGGCAATACTCCACCTTCTGAAAGTAACTTTCTTTAAAGAGTACTGTCACAATATCAATAACTAATCATCTAATCAGAAGTCTGTCTCATTTCAGTTTGGTTCAAATTAGCCTTCATATCACAGGTCTAAATTATATATCATTGGCAAGAAAAAGAAAGAAAAAGACATGAACTATTTTCTATTCTTTCTCTCCTAATAGAGAAACCTCCAAATAAACAACCCAGGAATGCCTGGGATTCCTCTCAAGGCTTTCATTAAAAATATGTAGACATAGAAATGTCTTTTTTCCCCCTTCTTTTTAAGTATAACTATAAATTGTACATAGACATGGAGGTTTCAGATCTGGAAGGCAGAAATCCTTGAAACCTGCTTTCTTTCTTATGACCAGTGGGGACATCTGGTAGCAATTTACACGCGCATAATTCACAAATCATGGATTATTTTTTGTGTAGCTTTGGTTCAAAGGCAAAACAAAACTGCTGACTTTATTGGCTACTTTGCTAGCGTACTGTGTGGTAGCTTTGAATTGTTTGCATAGACTATAAAAGACTACAATGCCCATTTCTTACGTGGTTTGATACATCAATAAACACTTTCATGATGAGTTAATGGTATCGTTGCAAGTCTTATTTAACGCAGTATAAAATTAATTATGAGAGGTTACCATGTGATTTCAAAGTTATTATCATCTGAACATGCTCTATCCCTGCTTTGTAGTTAGCCATACTCAGCATTTAGGAAAACCGAGATCCTTAACTCGAGGCTTAGGCCAGTGGCCACCAGACTAAGAAGCATCCATCTTTAATATGTAGTGTATAGCCAACATATACAGTAGAAGTGACCCATTTTATGCAACACTTAAGTGTATTAACATGCAATTAACACAAAAACTGATGTGACTAACGTCATAAATTATCAGCGTAGGTACAGTATAATACATGGGTACACAGGTATTGTATAATAAGTACAATGTAGCATGGGCACAGTATAATTTCTATGGCATACTGTAAGTGGCTTTTCCCTTCAACTACAGTATTATGTAAGCGTGGGAGTCACATGGAAACCTGAACTGTTTTGAGTATAGCATTAACATCCTAATGCTGCATTGTATGAGAGAAACAGAGAGAGAGAGAGAGAGAGAGAACCCCAAAAGAGTGTTTCCATGACAACATCTGCAAAGGGTGGCAGATCCCTAACAAACAGTCCTCTTGCCAGCAGCTTTCTGGTCACTGGCTCTATAGCAGGACTGTTTCTGTCATGGGTGATTGTCTTCATAAAAGCAGGTGTCTCATGCTACTATTACATGTGACACAAGCGAGACACGTGACAGGTCTTCCATAAATGGACAGAGAATTTAAAGAAATACAGTGAGCTCACGAGAAGAGCCCTTCACTGACGCTGTGAGTGGCTAAAACCTTGTTAAGTCTGCCCTGAGGTTAGAGCCAGATGTTCCGTACTAGCTGTGGTGGTTGGCTAAAAGTTTACATTAAAGCTAAAATCAAAGCTGAAATTCTGATTGGTTTACATTTAATTGTGTGAAAATGTAAATATTCAGTCTTCATTGATACCTTTGTTAATCTTCCCACATCCCCATCTAAAATGCACAGCATGTCCTTGCTTTTAGATTAGCTCACCTCGTTTTTGAGATGTGTGTGATCAATAGATCCTACTCCGCCAACTATAGTCAGCTAAATTTTATTGCTGTTTTCTATTTATTAGACTCTTACATATACATAAACATCTCAAAATTAAATAAAGCAATGAATGCACTTTGATCTTGCTTCATTTTGCCTATAGACCGTACATTTCAGATTTATGAATTAGAGCATATTTTGTAAGTCCAGCCAACAGAAATAACAATAATATTAGCTTCAAACCTTTCACCAAATGTAAATGTATGCAGAGTAATTATTCCATATGTTATCCATATCAGAACCAATTTATAATGACACCATAAAGTTGATTGTGGCCGTTTTTCCAAACTTTATAATCTGTTTTTGAATTAAAGCATATTTGTGGTTTATTTCAACCTGGTGTATCTCTCCAAAATCTATACTGTAGATCTGGGAAAAGGAAAAATCACACAAAGGGCCTCTAAAGTGAGTTCCCTGCAGCTTTCCAGAAAACATGATATTTGCATTAATCATTTAAAAAATACAGTTTCAAGCTGACCAATGCCAAATGTGCTCTTTGCTGACTTTGTTAGGGATCTCCAATTGGGGAATACTTGCCGTCTGATCGAATCCCCTTGTATAGTCATCCACTGCTTAGTGGATTGCTTACGTGCAAGTTACAGGTGTCGAAATTGTAGTATGATGGTGGGTTGCATTCTTTTGAACCATGCAGCCGATTGTTTCTTGAAATCTCTAAAACATAGGTTTGGACTACCAAGTTAACATGACCATACCAAAGCCTACAAAGCCCACATTACTGTATAATACACCGTTCTGAAATAAATCAAAACAAACATCTACCAATTAGATTTTTATAAAAAGCCATAAACTGATAGAACATGTGAAACATGGATGACAAAATAGTTTTGCTCTGTCTGGGCCCGCTCTCTAAATAGTTGTTTGTTGAGGCAAAACCTACAAGGAATTACAGCTTTAGTGTTTGCATTCACTGAAAGTGTAGAACTGCTGTCACAGAAGGTGGCAAACTGGGGGAAAACCAATGTATATCACACTTCCAGAACAATTCTCTACTATTGAGCCTTCCATTACCTCCAGCATTCAGCAGCTTTGACACCGGAACAGCGGAACCAAAACGCAAACACAACCGGGAATCTCCCGAGGCTCCGAGACTGCCTCAGCTCTCTTGACTAGGAAAACACACAAGGTGAGAATAATAGTATTCACACCTACACAGAACCAACAATATCTGAAAGTTCTCTGTGTGAATATCTGATTCTGTTTAGTGACTACAGTCCTGCAGCATCTACAGGCATAATTTCATATCAAAGAGGCCTGCGAGCTAAAACTAATTTACTAGAAGCAAAATGTTAGCTGAGATGCATTTGAGTGTAATATTTTATGAATTTACTCTTTAGTGTCAGAGAAAGTTAAACTGGACTTGTTGTCATCATTCAAAACCCTTTCTTTGACCCCAACGCTGCACAAAGCTAAAGGTAACCTGCAGGTGCAACAGCAGGACACAAAAGTTGTAGTAAAGGCAAACTGTTAGGTTTCAGATAGGATATTC